TCAGCAGGAAAAATCAGAAATAATGGCAGTCAGATTGACTACTGTAAGAACAAGCAAGTTGTTCACCGGGGAGCCATCAGGGCAAGCAGTCAGGTCCCCTCAGGGCAAAACCCCTTCCAAGACTGAGACTCAAGGGGAATACATAAGCAGGCATGTGGTCCTGCTGGTGACCACATTGGTCTACCGATAAGGGGAAGTGGGGGAAAAACAGCAATGAAGCTGTGAGCTAAGTCCAACCACGCTCAACAGACTCCTGTTCACCTGGATTGAGACCTGGTTGGCCAGCAGTATGGTGAGACCTGGGCACTCCCGGACTCAGGGACAGGGACATGGCCACAGAGGACTAGAGTGGAGAGTGAAGCGTACAGCTGATATGAAGTGAGGGGAGATGCCCAAGAGTACCCTTGTGACCTGGCTTCAATGGATGGATGATCAGAACTCGACTAGAGGAAGAAGAGGAAAAAAAGAGTAATCTGCTACAATTTGATGAATTTGACTTATACTTATAGATGTAATAGCTCAAAAGAGGGTATGTATCTTTACAGTGAGAATCATTCCCACTCCCTTGGTACACAGCGTTGATAGGGATAGGCAACTTAGACATTGGCTACCCAAAATGGGGGAACTACAAAGGCATGAAGTGACTGGCTTACAAGCTTTCAAGAGGGAGCCTAGTTTCAGAGGGTGCGGGGGATTCACAATAAAAGCTTTTAAAAAAAATAAAGAAAAAAGAAAGGCCTCTGGAGGGTGTGAGATTCAATTGTGGGGGATAATTGGGAACATTTTCAACATAGATTGGCTCCTTTGTAAGTGTTCATGAAATTTCTTTAGGCAATGAATGTACTGACACAGAAGAAAGTCCTGATTTTTAGAGATGCCTGCTCAACTATTCTGGGTGCAGTGTCATTACATCTGTAACTTTCAAATGGTCTCAAGGGGGAAAAGAGAAAGAGAGCGAGCGTGCAAACCAAGCAAGCAGAAGCACTCTGACATGTTCACAGGCCCTGAAGGTGAAGGAGAGGTATGACGGCGTTCATTGTAACGCTCTTTCAACTTCTCTACATGTACTTGGTGTGGAGTATGGTGCTGGTTATGTTTCAAAAAATTCCTAGGTTAGAAAAAAATCACCAAAAACCTAGAGATGGCAAACACACAGACACACACGTTTAAAACTTTCTAGGTGCTTCTATGTGCAGCAAGCATGAGAGGAACCACAGCGATCCTATGTACAACACAACGAAACACTGTCCAGTCCTGCGCGATCCTCACAATTGCTTCTATGCCTGAGCCCATTTTCGCTGCCACTGTGTCAATCCATCTAGTTGGAGGGCTTCTCCTTTTTGGCTGTCCTTCCACTTTACCAAAGCGTGAGGTCCTTCTCCAAGGACGGTTCCCTCCTGATAATGTGTGAAGAATGAGAGATGCCGTCTGGCCATCTTGGCTACTAAGGAACATTTTGGCTGTATTTCTTTTTTTTTGACAATCACAAACTTATTTGAATACCAAAGAGAATGCAAGATACTCCCTACAGTTTAACCAAAAGTAATTACTATAGAAGGGAAATGCACCATCCAGAGACCAAAAGGAGAAACAAATATAGCTTAACACTTTAGATATCCTTTACCTCTGTTTTCCTCTAAGACTTTCAAATAAATTCTCATGGAAGGATTAGCACTTCAAGTTCAGAAATGTTTTCAAGAGTTCAAGAAACAAAGAGACAGACTTCTGAACAATAGTTGGCGGAGCACCACCTTTGTGGAAGTCATTCATAAATCAAAGCACATGGATTCTCATGCTCAAGTGGCCGGACCACCTGGACTTCTATTAGAATTATTGGTGCTTATATTTTTGAAACTTCTATGCTTGAACATGAATGAAACCTTTCTTTAATAGATTAAGAATAGTTTTAGATTTGCAGAGAAGTTGTGAAAATCGTAAAGTCCTCATATACTTAGTACTTATGTACTTAGTTTCCCCTATTATTGATAAATTTGTATGGTATATTTTTTATAGTTACTAAGCTAATGTCAATACATTAGACCCACTCCTCAATTATCAACATGGTTAGGTGCCAAAGACTGGATTGTTACATGGCAATTGGTATTATGCTAAAATGGAGGCTGACTAGAGCATTACCTAAAACCCAAATTGCATCATTATATAACTGCCAAATCACACCAATACATAACTGCCAAACCACATCATTATATAACTACCAAATCACATCAATACATAACTGTCAAACCATTGAGGATCATACCCAGCTAAATTGACACATAATCTTAGCAATCATAGCCCTCACTGTTTTTGCTCTGCACCTTGCCATTCATTACTACCAGATGTCATTGATGCCAAAAATAGTTGCAGAGATTTTTTTACTATTGTAAATGGCAGACAATGAGAAAGTCTGCAAAATGGCAGACAATGAGATAGTCGATAACTAAAGAGTGGTGGTGGTCGATGGTGTGTTGTAAAGGTGGTTCCGATTCATAGTGGCTGTACTTCTTTCAACACAGATTTGTTTTCCTTCTGGCAGTCCATAGTACTTTTAATATTCTTCTCCGACACTATAACTCAAATGCATCAATTCTTCTATGGTCTTCCTGAATCATTCTCCAACTTTCACATGCAGATGTTGTTGAGTGCCATCAAGTCAGTTCTGACTGAGTGACCCTGTATAGGGTTTCCAAGGAGCAATTGGTGGGTCTGAACTGCCAACCTTGTGGTTTGAAGTCTACTGATCCTATAGCACACCAGTTGTTGTTGTTAATTGCCATTCTGTCAGTTCTGACTCACAGAGACCCAGCATAGGGTTTCTGAGGAGTGGCTGGTGAGTTTGAACTCCAACTTGTGTGGTTCAAATCAACCTGGCGGTCCTGTGCTTATCCTGTAACACCACACCTTGTAGGGGTATGGATGTGATCCTATCTCAGACAGCATTATACTTCAAGGCTGATGTTGAAATGTTCTTTTTGATGATGAATGGGGCACTGTTCCTCTTCAATTTGTCATTCCAGGCATAGCAGCCATGTGATTGTCAGATTCAAAATGGCAATACTAGCGTCCATTTCAGCTCACTAACGCCTAGGATATCGATCTTTATGCATTCCATTTCATTTCTGACAACTTCCAATTTTCCTAGATTCATACTTTGTACATTCCATGTTCTGATTATTAATGGATGTTAGAGTTGTGCCCTAACAACAATCGAAAGTCCCAAAAGTTTGACTCCATTCACGCCATCACGGTAAACTCTGCTTTGAGGTAGAAGCAGCTCTTCCCCAGATATATTTTGAGTGCCTTCCAACTTGAGGGGCAACACTGTTATCTGACAATATTCTCGTGTTATTCACCATGCTTCAATATTTTGGTGCTATCCGACAGTGTTCCACTGATATTCATAAGGTTTCCAATGGCTAAACAATCGGAAGTAGTCCATCTCACCTTCTTCCTAGTTTGGCTTTGTCTGGAAGCTACGCTGAAACCTGTCCACCATGGGTGACCCTGGCAGCATTCAAAAGACTGGTGGCATAGCTTCCAGTATCACACCAACACATGAGGCACCACAATGTGACAAACTGACAGACACGTGGCGGCTCTTTAAAAGCAGAGGTGAGCAAACTACAGCCCACTGTTATTGTCGATACAGTTTTATTGGAACACAGCTATACCCACTTACTCATCTATCAGCTGAGGCTGCTGTCTGTGCTTCTACAGTTGAGCGCCTTAGTTGTGACAAAGACCCTGCGGCCCTTCAGCTCTCAAAGTTGCTGCCCTCCCTCCCTCAGCTCCCATCTCTCCCCACTCCTTTCCAATCTACTGAGGCAGCTTTCATATGCCAATCAGGCCTCAGCTTTCCCTAGTATCAGAAAGACTGTCTCCTCAAAACACTTTCCTGGCTGCTGCGGACATTGTTGTTTCCACCTCCCTCAGGGCCTGCTGCTTGTCCTCCTTTGCAGGGGCCTTGACTGCACTGTCCCCTACACTGTGGGCGCTACCTGAGCTCACAGCTCCAGCCGCCCCGCTCCCTCCCACCTAGGGAGGAACAGTACATATGGTATGGACTCCGTCAATCCCAGCTGCACCACTTATGAACCACATAACTGTGGGCAACTTACCTAAACGCCTGCATCTCAGTTCCCTCCAGTGTGAAATGGAGACTACAGAACGCTCCTCACAGGATGCTGCTGTGAGGACGAAATGAGTGCCCACACACACGGCATGTCTCAACATGTCCTGTAAGGGTCCTCTCAAGGTCCCACCTTAGTTCACACACCCATCCTCCCACTCTAAGTTTCAGCCTCCCTGGGCCTTACGCCTTTCTAGAGACATCTCCAGGGAGGACATCTGCCATCTCCCTGGCTGAACAGCCAGCTCTCCACCTCCAGCGCACCTCCATTCACACAGTTCTGCAAGGTTGGCTCCTTTGGGTCACTCCAGACTTGGCTCATTCACCCCAAAAACACTCCCCTAATACTCAACTTGTAGTATATGCACCAGACTGCTAACCTCAAGGTCAGTGGTTCAAAAGTACCAGCCATTCATCAGAAACACTTCATAGGATCGCTATGAATCAGAACCAACTCAACGGCACTTATCACCACCAGACTTGCGGTAGCATTCCCTGAGTGCCACTCTTGTCTTGTTGGATTTTATGCCCAGCTCTCCCCACAACCAGCAGCCATTGTGCTGTGTGCTCACGAGTTCATGGGACCGTTCCCTCCCTGAGCGCAGGACTCTTCTCTGCCCTGCGTACCGGCGCCTCCTGGCCCTGGAACGATGTCTCACTCACCATCCATGTGCAGAGGGAAAGATCCCTCACTAACACCCCTAGCATTGAACACACTGCAGAAACCTAGAAACCCGCTAAAAACAGGATCTCAAGCACAGTGAGCAGTCCAATGGACAATGGGTGCTGAGATGGCTTCTAAGGACAGGTCACAGGCACCTGTGAACAAAGGCCCTGTCTCGCTGAGGCCACCGTCTGGTTGCCCGCTCACCTTCTCACCGCTGTCATGCAGCTGTTGGAGCTGCCGCAGCCGACGCCCCTTCTCCAGCTGCTTCTGCAGCTCCAGCTCGGCCTCGTCCTCCTCCAGGGCTTCTGGGGACCCGGCCCGGGGAGCTCTGCCCTCCTCTGTGGAAACACAGGCCCCATCACACAGACCACATCCTGGGACCCAGACTCCTGAGCCTGCCCTCTTCAGCCTGCTCACCGTCATCGCTGATGTCCATGTTCTCCACGCGGGTGTCATCTGACTGGGGGCGCTGAGGCACGAGCTCCTTCTCCTCTTCCTCCAGGGCCTCCTTGTCAGCCTCAGGCACTCGGCGCCGACCCCGGCCCCGCATTCTGGGGAGTAGAGGGCCCCCCAGTGAGGACCAGTCCTGGGCCCAGTCCAGTCTACCTCTATCACCCAGCCTACCTGGAACCGAAGTCCCTGTCCTGAGTCTGGTCCCCAAGAGGCAGCAAGTCATCGGCACGCACCACCACCTCCTTGTCTTTCTTGCGGATTTTCTTCACCTTCCGCTTGGTTTTTTTGAAGGACACCTGAAGGGAAGAGAAGAAAGCTGAGGAACATGGAGAGGGGTGGGGGACCAGCTGCAAGCCCCCTCAGTGGGGCCATTGTCCAAAGCACTTGAAGGACATGAACAACACATCAAGTAAGTACTAGTGTCCCTACTGGTGAAATGAGGAAACTGAGGCATGGGAGGTTGAGTACCTCGCTCAAGGTCACCCAGCACCTAAGCAGGAGAACTGGGCGTGAGTCTGGGCCCTGAAGCCCCGCCTTTCAACCACTTAGCCAAGCTACTCAGCTGTCTACCTCTATGGTCACAGTCATTCCAAATATAAACTCCACGTAAAGGGACAAAATGACTTCCCCCGAATCCTCACAATAACCCGTCACCTGTACTTCAGCTGGTAACCGAGGCACACAGTTAAATGCCTCACCCAAAGCACCAAGCTGACTCTGAAGCAGTCGGAACACTCCCAGCTAAGCCCTTACTGCTCTGTGCTCCCCACATCTCCCCCAGGGCTGCCATTTACAGCCTGTCCACAAGCACCAGGCACCAGGCACTGTTCCCACACTTGGCCTTTGTCCTTAGCGCATCCTGGGGGCATGTGACCCCTGAGGAGACGGGGAGGCACCCTGGCCCTACCCCACAGCCAGGGAAGCCCTAGGCTCACCATTTCCTCGGGTGTGAGATATTCGGAGGCCAGCCGGGGCCCCGTCGTGCTCAGGGACTGGGCCTGCAGCCGCAGCCGGGCCCGGATCTCTTCCAGCTCCCGTTCTCGGAGGTCGTCGGCTGTGCCGCCTTGGTCTAGGCGGAAGGAATGCGGTCGCTCTCCCTCCAGCTCCTCATCGTACTTGGACAGGATAGAGCGTGGTTTTTGCTGCAAGGCAAGAAGTTTGCGTTGGGATCTAGCCTGGCTACCAGAGAGTCACTAAGCTGCCGTTTGCTCCTCACCACCCCCCAAGTGCCCACACCATGCTACCCGGCCATGCCTGTGCCAGGTCATCCACACTCTCATCCTCTGCATAGGGCAAGTAGTCAGGTTTCTTCTTTCGTAACTCCACGTTCTTCTGAGCCCGCTCCTTGTCCACTAAGTTCACGTTCACCAGCACGTCCTCTTCCTCTTGCAGCACACCTGGGGGCAGGGCAGAAACAACTCACACCTGCCCTTGACCCAACCTCACCTGTGCCCCCAACCCAAGCCCCCACTCAGCCCACCTTTGTCCTTGAGGGTGAGGATCAGAGTTTCCCCTTCACGGAAGGAGTCAATGGCGTGCTCCACGGTGAGGCCCTGCAGGTCCTGGGCGCTGTACACATCCTGGAAGGGTAGGGAAGGGTCAGCTGAGTCTCGAGCACCAGCCCACCAGACCTGGGATCGCCCTGCCGTGCTACAGCCTCACCTGCCGCCTCTGCCCAAACTCCTCCTCCACCAACGAGCTGATCCCGAACTCCTGGTCCATCTCCTCCAGCAGCCTGGCCTGTGGGACAGAAAGAGGGGTGACCTACAGCATCCCCAGAAAACTCCTGCCAGGCACATGGTCAGGTCTGCCACGAGAGCACCCAGAGCACCGGGAAGCCGACGGCGACCACAGAGATGTCCTGCCTCAGTGACCCGCCAGGCCCCGCAGGTGCCCACTGCAGCCCTCCAGGGCCCTCACCCTCTTCTCCGCCATGTCCTTCTCCTTCTGGAGCTGCCGGCTCCTCTCGATCCAGGCAGCTGTGTCGTCCAGCCACAGGTCATCTTCCCCCAGGGTCTTGATCTTCCTGAAGAGGGAGGAAGGGACCCTGAGGAGCCCTGCTCCTGGCCCTCAGTCACGGGCCCACAGTGCCAGCACGCCTAGGCAGTCTCTTCCACTTCCCCTTTCCCAATCCTGGAGGAGGGCCCCCTCACCCCAGTTTCTGGTTCAGCAGGCGCTTTTCCTTGGCAGCCGCTAGCTTCTCCCGCAGCTCCTCCCGCTGTCGTAAGGCCATGGGGTTGATGACCTCAGCTGCCAGGGGCTCCTCCTTGGTGCCCGCCTCTGGAAGGGGGGCCCAGATGTGAGGCTCTGCCTGCCCTCAGGGCTGGTGGGGAGAGGAGGGAGCCACTTGCCCTGGCCCATTCCAGCTCAGAGAGCAAGAAGGGGCAGGAAGGGGGAAATCCTTTCCCTCCCAGGCCATCCCCATGTAGCACGGCAGGACTGCCATGCCTTCCCAAACACCCCAAAAGAGGTTTTCAACAAACACGTGCTGTCTACAGTGACTACACAGATCTCTCATGTACTTTACAGCACAGTGACAACGCAGTGACCCATAGTCACAATGACAGGACCAGCAGAGCCCCTCCTGCGTGTGCACACCACAAACCCACCAAAGGGTGAGGAATCTAAGCTTTAACCTCCTCTCTTCAAAGACCCTCAGGTGTCTCCCCGACCCCCATCCTCAGCCGCTTACTCACCCTTCTTGACAGTATTGACCTCCAAGGGTTTCAGCCCCAACTTTGCCCGGAGTTTACTGAGAACAAGAGACACCTTGTTAAAGACTCTCAGGTAATGGGACACCAGATGCCTTTCTGGAAATGTGAGGGGAATGATTGTGCCCTAGTGGCACAGTGGCTAAGCACTCAGCTGCACACTGAAAGGTTGGAGGTTCAAACCTACCAGCAGCTGTGTAGAGAAAAATGTGGCACTGTACTCCCATAAAGATGACACTCTCAGAAACCCTATGGGAGAGTTCTCCTCTATCCTAGATGGTTGCCAGGAGTCGACAGTGGCTCAATGGTGGTGGGTCTGGTTTTTTAAGGTGCCCAAACACAGGGCCTGCCCTACATCAGAGAGCATGGACACTGGGCTTGGCCTTGTCCCTATCAGTGGAATGCCACCCTTCCTCTTTGGTTTTCATTTCTTCTTCCATCACCAAGACAACTCATTTAGCCCATCCAACTCCCATCAGAACACTATCATGGGTGACAGTCTTGCCAAGTGGCAACTCTAGAACGTGCCTGCTTCAGAGAGAAAAAGGAGAAACCCATGAGGGGCAAGACTTACTTAGTCTCCTCGATGCTGAGCGAAGAGGCATCTCCTGAGCTGGTTTTGGAACTGGCGGCTGAAATAACAGTAAGAGTGGCTCAGGAGCTGAGCAAAGGACCAAGCAGCCAGCACCGTGGCTCCAGCCAAGGGCAGAGGGAGGGTCCCTCACTAGCACCTGACTCTGCAGAGACCCCAGAAAACAGGAAGCATCTTGGCCTTCCTCTCAGCCTTCTTCCACCCCAGCAGCTCCTTTTGCCCAAGTTTCTGAGACACCTGCCTCTTCTACTCCTTTCCTTTCTTGTCCCAACTCTCCGTATCCTTCTTTACCACCTTCGTGTATTGTTGTCAACCTGCCCTGCCCTCTCTGGCTTTGCTCAGATTGACAAAATGCGACTTAACATATAATGGTCATACACTACCTCCTCCACAAAGCTTACAGAATGACAACGGCTCTATCCGGAATCCCCAGAGGATGGGGAACGTGTCCTCTACACAGTGCAGGTCATCAAAACCCAAACACTTATTAGGGGCTGCTGCAAGGTGGGCTCTGGGCTGTCTTATTCTGTTGCCTATGGGGCCGATATGAGTTGGAACTTACGCGATGGCACTTAACACACACCATGTCACTGTTGCTGCCTTGGTGCCAGGCACCCTCAGCCCTCACCTGTCTGTCTACAGCCCTCCCGGCCTCCCTGCCTGCAGTCTTGCCCATCCGGCTTTCAATGCAATACTCTTTAAAAAACAGAAAGCGATCCCAGGCTCCTCACTGCCCGCTACACAATCCACCAAACCTGGTAGAGGTTTTCTGTTGCTTCTGCACATGCCGGTTCGTTCGTTCATTCATTCATTCATTCATTCATTCATTCATCACTCAACACACTGAGAGTCAATGATATGCCCCGAAACGGAGAAAACTGTGTTTAATTTCAAACAAATGCTGATAGGCAACTCTGAGGGTGCCTGAACCTGTGTGCACCGAGACCCCCATCACACAAACACCCCGCGACCCCGGCCCTCACCGGCTTCATAGCCCTCGTCTCGCTTCTCCCGTTTCACTCGCCGCTCGGAAGGCTCGGCCTGGCTGCGTTCCCGCCCGTGCGCGCTCCCGCGGGTCTCAGCCTCGGCCGCGCGCCGCCCGCTCCCGCGCTCGCCCGCGCGCTCCCGGCTCCGCTTCCTTCGTTCGCCGCCACTGCTGCCACCGCCGCTGCTTCGGTGTTTGTGTTTCTTGTGCTCCCGGTGCCGCAACGGCTGTTCTGTGGCGCCCGCAGTGTCGGTCGCCGGGGTTGTTCCGGCTGCCTCTTTTTCGCCCCGGTGTTTCTTGGACGACCCCATGGTGGCACATCCAACCCGAGGCAAACCACCGCCAAGCCCCACCGCACAAACTGGAACACTTCCGGGTCACCCAGCTACCACGGTTTTGTTGCCGGAAACCAAGACTAGCGGCTTCCCTCGTTCGCTTTGGAGGCTGCCCTAAAGGCTCATGGGAAGGCCGGATACGTAATCAGGTTGCGCAGCCGCGTCCGCGGCCTTGGAGCTGGTGGTGCGAGTGCGCGTGCTGATTTAGGAAGACAATCATGGACTGATATAAAAAATGTGAGGACCTAAGGAGCTCTGGCAACAGTAGTGAGGTTGGCCCAGGATCGGGCAGTGTTTAGTTCTGCTGTGCATAAGGTCGCTATGGGTCGGTACCTAACAACAACAAGGAGCTTTGGTAGCGTAGTGGTTACGAATAGGGCTGCGAACCTTCAGGTTAGCCGTTCGAAACTACCAGCTGTTCCGCGGGGAAAAGATGAGGCTTTCTGTGCCCGACAACCTCGGAAACCCTGTACAGGGTCGCTATGAGTCAGAATCGACTCTACGGCACATAACACCAACTGAGGTTTCTTAGGCCAACATCCCCGGAGTTGGAAACCTTTCCCACCTCTACAAATTACACATCCCACGGGGGGCCCTCACTGCCACTCAATAGGCGTACTAGTGGGCTCCCAGGGGCCTTGGCTCCCTCAGATGTCGAACGATGCTCCTGTTCTCTTCCTCCAGACCATCCAGCTCCACAGCCCACCCTCCTAACTTCCACAGCCAGTTTTGATCCCAAATGCTGCCTCCCGACATGCCTGGATTGGGTTTTTCAGTGGCGTCGAAGGACTCTTTTGCGCTGCAGATGAGCTGTGGATCTGAACTCTGGAAGCTGAGTGCAAAATTTGACATATCTCGGTGTGCGTTGTTCTTAGGTACTGTCAAGTCAGTTCCGACTCAGCCACCCTGTATAGGGTTTCCAAGGATTGGCTAGGTTCAAAACGACTTTGCATTACAGCGCATTAACCTGCAGCCGCACCAGGACACATATTGTTAAAGTGCCCTTGAGTCGGTTCCGACCCAATCGAGTATATGTAGGTTGTTGTTGTTGTTATGTGCCATCGAGTCGGTTCCGACCCATAGCGACCCTGTATAGGGTTTCCGAGGGTGTAAATCTTTACGGGAGTAGAAAGCCTCATCTTTCTCCCGCGGTGCAGCTGGTAGTTTCGAACCGCTGACCTTAAGGTTCGCAGCCCGACTCGTAACCACTACGCTACCAGAGCTCCTTGATATATATATATATGTGTATATACTTTTGTTGTTGTTAAGTGCTGTCGAGTCAATTCCGACCCATATCAATTCCAACCCATAGCGACCCTGTATAGGGTTTCCAAGGAGCAGCTGGTGAGTTTGAACCACTGACCTTGAAGTTCAAATGACTTTGCAGACACTTGATTACAGTAACAATCTTTATAAACATGTTTAACTTGAAGAGAGGGGCAGCAATTTTTAGACCCAATCCATAATCCCTCTTGATACCTCCCATTCAACAGTGGCTCAATCCAATTTATGGCAGTGACCAGTATCTCAGCATGTCGCCCCTTCAAGTTACCACGCCCCCTGAGTTGGCAGCCCTTAAAGGCAGGGGTCACATCTGTCCCATTCATCCTTGAATTCCTAGCATGCAGTATGTATTAGTGCAGGGTGATGGTAGACTGAGAGGGAGAGTCAGAGCTGTTGCCCCTTCAGGTTGCCCTCCCCCAGGACAGCCAGTCTCAGCTTGCCGTCCACCCACTTGCCACCTCCTATCTCCAGCCCGACACTGCCTTTCCTCCCCCAGAAATCCCACACTGCATTTTTCATAAATCCTTTAATTTTTAATCTTGGGGACTGGATGCTTGGTCCAGGCTGGGGGTGGAGGGTCTGTCAAGCTGGCTGCTGGTGGGTCTGGGTTCTGTCCTTGGGGGTCTCTGAGAAGGGTGCTCCAGTCTCACCCCCATAGACCTGTGATTCCTTAAAGACCACAACACAGACAGAGGCCTCTGGCCTCCACATCTCCTCACCCCCACCCTACCCCCACCTCCATGTCCAAGGAGGCCTGGCTTCTAGGTTGGAAGACACTTGTCTCTAATGATGTGAGTTCAAACCCCAACTCTATGCTGTTGTGTTGTGTGGTTTCCTTATTGGGAAGTGGGCCTCATGATCCCTCACTCCTGGACCAGGTTAGCCTGATGACTAAGGGGTGGTGTACTTGGGACCATTGGTTGGGTTCCGTCTGTAAAGGCGTCTCATGGTGTGATTGTAAAAATTGCTACCGAGCCCCAGACTGGCTCTGCTGATTGCCCGTGTCTTTCAGCAAGGCCCTGTCCCTTAGGTCCTCAGATTCCTCATTAAGAAGTGGGCAAATCACCCTGGCCTGCCTTCCTCAGGTGCCTTGGAGGACTCAGATAATCTCTGGAGCTAGGTTGAGCCCTCCAGAAGGGGGAGTGAGAAGGATGGGATCGGGCAGGACCAAAGCTTTGATTGAGGGCTCGTTAATATGTCTGTCCTTGGGGATCCCTCAGCCTTTCCCTCCATGTCCAGTTTTAGGCTGGGTGGGGGTGAGGGGCATGGCTGGGATCCTGCAGGGCTCGGACCACTGGTGTTGGGCCCCTCTCTCCCAACTCAACAGAACTCTTGGGCAGGCCGGTCAGCCTCACCTGGGCTTCCTGGAGGTGCTCTCTGTGTTTCCCTTTCTTGCCTCAGCCAACAGCTGCTCCTCATCCAGGCCCAGTGCTGACAGCACCTGGGAGAAGCGCCGAGTCACAGTGAGCCGAGCGTTGGCCTGGAGAGAGAAGACAAGTTTCTGCCCTCCATCAGAGTTCTCTGAGGAGACTTCAGAGTTTCCAAGTGGGCAGCAGCCTGGACCACCCCCACTCCCCATCTCTCCTCCCTCCCCACTTAGCTGGGGAGACACTTGGTCCGCAGGGCAGGTCATGTGCTTACTTGGGCACTGGCCTCACCTGCATCGCCTGCTGGAACAAGTAGGGCCGGGCCTGCACCCGGTGTTGGATACTCTGCAATTCAGCCTTGTACTCAGCAAAGCGCTGTCGTTCCTGGCGTCTGTGTGGGAGACAGGCCTCAGTGTAGCTCTGCTGCCCCATGGACATAACCCATCCAGAGTTGAGCCTGCTGTCTTCACTAAGGACTCTGTCCCCATCCCCAGACTTTTACAAAACCACTTCATCCCCATCCTGTCCTGGATCCCTCCAGAGGTCGGTAGGGCAGGACTCTTCTCCTCATTTTACTAATGAGCACCCTGAGGAGGTTTGAGGGACTTGTCAGCGATTGCCCAGCTGGGAAGTGGGGTCTTTCAGATGATACAGCCAAGGCTCATGCTTCCCACCACCCCCAAGAGAGAGGAGCCAGGACTGACTTCAGAACTTTGAGAATCAGCTTTGCACAGCCTCTCCCCCTCTGCAGTCCCATACCCCCTGCTCCCTCTCCTACTTCAGCTCTGAGGAGGAAGCTGTGGTTGTTGGTGGTGTGACTTTGGCCAAAGGACTTCCCCTTTCTGGACTCTTGGTTCATTTGCTTCCCTCTGTGGCCCTGGAGGATAAGCACTCAACCACAAAGTCGATTTGAACTGCAAGGTCGGCGGTCCAAACTCACCAGCCGCTCCTAAGAAATCCTATAAAGGGTCGCTGTGGGTGGGACTGACTCAACAGCACTTAACAACAACAAAAGCAGGATTTGGTTCCTGGGTGGGACAAATAATAGTACTCAAGTGCTAATCAAAAGGTTGGTAGCTTGAACCAACTCAACAGTATCATGCAAGAAAGGCCTGACCATCTGCTGTAAATACTGCAACCAAGAGAACCCGCTGGTGCTGCTGCTGGTGGGGGTAGGGGTGCTGCTGGTGGTTGTGGTTGTGTGCTGTTGGGTTCGTTTCAACACATTGCAACCCTATACAGGGTTCCTGTGGCTGTAAATCTTTACAGGAGCAGAAAATCTCATCTTTCTCCTGTGGAGGAACTGGTGAATTCGAACTGCTGACCCTGTGGTTAGCAGACCAACACGTAATCTACTACACCAGCAGGGCTCCTTAGAGGACCCTGTAGAGCAGTTATACTGTGTAACACATGGGGTGATACATGTTGCATAGGGTTTCCTAAACTGTAAATAACAACAACAACAACAAATCTTTACAGGATCAGATTGCAAGGACTATTCTCCCACAGAGTCACAGGGTGGATTTGAACGTCCAACCTTTTGGTTAACAGCCAACTGGTCCTAATGAGTAATGATTTCCATTAGGTTTTCTTGGCTGTAATTTTTCCAGAAACAGATCACTCGACCTTTCTTGGGCAGCTCCCTGGTGAGTTTGAACTGCCCAAGAACTCTGGTAGCATAGTGGATTCTGAGTTGAATCTACCAGTCCCTCCGCAGGAGAAAGATGAGGCTGTCTGCTCCTGTAAAGATTTACAGCCTCTGAAATCCAATACAGGGTTGCTATGAGTCGGAACCAACTCCACAGAACACAACCACCACCACCTTGGAGTTAGTAGGTAAAAGCAACTTGTTTGTACCAACCAGGAACAGTTTCTACAAAAAATGTGGTCTTCCTCATACCAGAGGGAGTTTACAGCAATTATGAGCCAGGAAAACATGAGCTGGCTGCCTGACTCTGTCTTACCCAGATGATGTCATGTATGTTTTTCTGCTTGGTCCTTTGTACCATTTCTGTTAAGTTTTAAGAAGCAGCCCACCTCTCAGAGCCCCGACTGAGAAAGAAAATATTGCCAATGAAGGCCCACGTCAAGAATTAAAGGAAGACCCCTAGCCTCCAACCATGGAGTGAAGGTAGTGGGCCAGGTCCATTCAGCCATGCTTTGGCCAAACTTCTGTCTGGTCTGACCCTCCTTGGCAGGGTGGGCCTCTGGTTCTGTTCAGACAGAGTGAGGTTCACTGGCAGGCAGGGCTGAGAGACTAGGTGGGAACTGTCTGCTTATGCCTTAGCCCACTCTTAGTAGAAAATAAAAGTGTTGTGGGGGAAACCCTCCTTTCCTGGCATCTGTCCTTGAAGTTCTGAGCCTTAGGCTTTCTGCCTTCTTAAAAAAAAGAAAAAAAAGCCAAAACCAACAATGAACTGAGGCCTAGTAAGGAGGAGGCATCTCTTTAATCATTGGTCAAAGATTCCCCTAAAACCCACTTGGCCTCTTGGAGCCTCAGTGTCTCCACCTATAAAGCAGGGGCGATGAGACTGAGCCCCCAAAAGCAGATGATCAGAAGCTCCAGAGGCATCCATGGATGCAGGGCAGGAACCCACTTTCATCTCCCCAGCACCCTATTCCTCTGGTCCAGCACTTGACCCAGGACGAGTTGCAGAAAGGGCTGCTCTGGTGCCAGCTTCTCCCAGGAGGTGCTCAATATCAGTGGCATCATGATTATAGTCACATGTTAGTTAAGTTGGGCTTTTGTGTGGGGGGGGATCCTCAAGACCCTAAAGATGGGGTGTTTGAACTTACAAGTAGTAAAGCAAAGTAGCCAAGGGACTGATTGAATTTGAATCCCAGCTTGGCCTCTTACTTATGACCTTTGGCATATTATTGTTGTTAAGTGCCATCAAGTCGGTTCCAACCCATAGCGACCTTGTATACGGTTTCTGAGGAGCAGCTGGTGAGTTTGAACTGCCAACCTTGCAGTTCAAACAACTTTGCAGTCTGGCGCATTCCCCACAGCACTACATTATGTAACCTTATTTCCTCATCTATAGAATAATTGTTGTTAACTGCTGTGTCAAACCATCCAACTCCTGGCCACCCCATGCACAACAAACAGCACCCAATGCTACCCCTTCCTGTACCATTGCCATGCTAGGTGGCACATCAGACCGCTAGCATCATAGGATCTTCACTGACTGACTTTCAGAAGGAAACCACCAGACTTCTCTTCCTAGTCTGTCTTAATCTGGAGGCTCAGTGGAAACCTGTTCAGCACCATAGCAGCATGCAAACCTCCACTGAGAGAGATGGGTGGTAGCTGCACATGCCGCTGGAATCAAACCCAGCCTCCCACATAGAAGAGAAACTCCTGCCATTGAACCATCATGGCCCCCAGTGCATGATGGTGGTGGTGCCGGTTAAGTGTGTGGAGTCGGTTCTGACCCATAGCGACCCTGCACAGGGTTTCCAAGGCTGCAAATCTTATGGAAGCAGAAATTCTCATCCTTCTCCTGAGGAGCAGCTGGTAGATTTGAACTACTGACCTTGTGGTTAGTAGCCCAAAGTGTAACCCAGTTAAGGATAAGGGTGGTGATAACATCTACCTTATGGCCTCTTACAAGCTTCAAAAGACTTGTCTGATTTCGAAGTTTGCGTTAAAAATTTTTTTCTTAAATGATTAAAATTTGTTGTTAAGTGCCATGGAGTTGGTTCTGACTCATAGCAACCAACCCTGTGTATGGTTCCCCAGGAGCAGTTGGTGGGCTTGAACCACTGACCTTGTAGTTTGCAGCCCAGTCCTACAGGAGCTCTGGTAGGGTAGTGGTTGCCAGTCTGGTTGCTAACCTCAAGGCCAGCAGTTCAAAACTACCAGCCGTTCTGTGGGAGAAAGATAAGGCTTTCTGCTCCTGTAAAAATTTACAGCCACAGAAACTCTATTCAGGGTCACTATGAGTTGGAACCGACTCCATGGCACACCACCACCACCATCACTGATCCTGCAGTGCCATACTAGGAGTCAAAAATATAGGAAGAGGGGAAAACACAGGTGATTCTTCACTTGGCCATGAACAGAAATTGTTCCCAGGAGAGGGGTCAGGAGCTGGTCGTGTTCTGTATGAACTATTTCTGCAGCATTCCTGTTGTTAAAATAAGCATGCCTGGCATTTGAAATCAGAAGAACAAGGCATAATGTCTACCATTTAAACCTTGGGTGCTCAACAGTTTCCTGCATGCCTCAATGTCTGCATCTGTAAAGTGGGTTGAACTTGAAAGATGGTTGTGGAGCTCAATCCTCAGGCAAGTCCTCCATCCCTCTCAATTGAATCCTCTCAGAGCCTCCCTGCCAGCTCCCCTCCGGCTCCTCTGAGCCCTGGGCCTCCTACCTCAGCTCCTCCAGCTTCCGCTGGGCAGTGCCTGGTCGGCGATTCCCTCTGGGTGCGTAGGCTGCCAAACAACGAGCCACTTGCTGTTGTACCCGCTGTTCCCGGGCACAACGTACCTGGGCCTGATGCTGCTCCTCCTGCAGCTGCCGCTCCCGGGACTGCAGCAGGCTTCTTGGGTGGGGAGAGGAAGACGGTGGGAGAGACTCAAGGAGGGTTGAGGGCTGGGGGCTGGGGAGCCTCTGGGGAGGAATTGGAACCCAGAGAGCTGGTTTGTCATGAAGGTCTGATGTGGCAGAGACCTGCATCTGGGACTCAGCCTTTCTCTTCCTGGAAGACTTTCGTTCACTTCTGCCAGCTCTAGCTAGGACTTCCTCAGCCAGGCTTGCTGAACCCCTGTGGCATTCAGCACACACAGCCTGGGACCCCACTTTTATGGCTCACTCCCCCACCTAAGATAACTCTTCTTGAGGGGGCTGGAGCAGCCTTGTTTTTCTCAATGTTTGGCAGAAGCTTAGTTAATTCCTACCAGTTGAAGGAAAAATTGGATGGATGGACAGATAGACAGATGGGTGAACAGAGAGCGGCTAGATTGATCTGAAATATGCTCCCCTAGAGCTCATGGCTAGTTCCTACTTGTGAAGCATGTCTCTGCTTAAATGTCACTTTCTCAGGAGGCTTTTCCTGACCACCCCATCTGAAGCAGCCTCTTGGGTGTTTTCTATCTCTGTTGATGTCAGGTACCCATCAGTTAGTTCCAACTCACAGCAACCTGATGTACAACAGAACAAAATGCTGTCTGGTGCCAACCTCACAACTGATACTCTCAGCCCACATTGCAGCCACTGTGTCAATCCATTTCATTGCGGGTCTTCCTCAATAGGTATACATTTCCATCAGCTCTGGTAGCATAGTGGTTACAAGTCGGGCTGCGAACCGCAAGGTCAGCAGTTCAAAACTACCAGCTGCTCTGCGGGAGAAAGATGAGGCTTTCTGCTCCCGTAAAGATTTACTGCCTCAGAAACCCTGTTCAGGATCGCTATGGGTCGGAACCGACTCGACGGCACTTGACAAGTATATATTTTATTCATTTTAAAAATTAATGATTCTTCTTCAAAAGTAAACTCTATTTACCAGAACTCAAACTGAAGAAGGTAAAGATGTTTGATACTGTGAACAAGTGCAAATTGCTACAATTCGGTGGACTATACTTTTGCTTATAAATGCAGTGACTCAAAATTCCAGGCAGAATGGAAGGATCCTTCATACCAAGGAACAACCTTGTTTCTTCAGTGGACTGGGTTCATTATTCCTATTGTTGTTGTTAAGTGCTGTCAAGTCATTTGCTACCCATAGCAACCCTGCATAGGGTTTCCCAGGAGTGGCTGGTGAGCTTGAACTACTGACATTGGGGTTTAAACCAGTTAATAGGGAAGGGAAATTTAGACATTGGCTATCAAAAACGGGGGACTACAAAGGCATGAGTCCTGTTGTGGTGCTGTGGATTAATGTGCTGGACTGCAAAGTCAGTTTGAATCATAAGGTCAGTGGTTCAAGCTCACCAGCCACTCCTTGGAAATCTTACACAGGGTCACCATGGGTTGGAACGGACTCAAAGGCATTTAACCTAAACGCATGAAGTGGCTGTCTTAGTTTCAGTATGAGGGGGGTAAGGTAGAATCCCCACTGAATTGTTGTTGTTAGGTGCCATCGAGTCAGTACTGACTCATAGCGACCCTATGCACGACAGAATGAAACACTGCCCGGTTCTGGGCCAACCTCACAATTGTTGCCATGCTTGAGCCCATT